GACAAGGTCAGTTTATCCACAGGAGGCACAATGCCTGAGGTCCAGGATACTTTTAGGGGTCTACAAAATGTTTTAATTTCATTTTAAAATTAGAAGAAAAGATAGGGTGCCTGGGTGGCTCAGTCGGTTAAGCATCCAACTTCAGCTCAGGTCATGATCTCACAGTTTGTGGGTTCGAGCCCCGCATTGGGCTCTATGCTGACAGCTCAGAGCCTGGAGCCTGCTTCAGGTTCTGTGTCTCCCTCTCTTTCTGCCCCATCCCTGCTCATGCTCTGTCTCTCTGTCTCTCTGTCTCTCTCTCTCTCACTTTCTCTCTCTCTCAAAAATAAAATAAAAACATAAAAACAATTAGAAGAAAAGATGACTGTAATAAAAACAAATACACAATAATGAATCCAGCCAGGATTACATTCATCTTTATACCAGTGCAATCATAAATATAATTTTTAATATCCTTTTTCAGAGGGACCCATGAAGATGAAGTGCCTGGAACTCACAAAAATTGTAATGTGGCCCTTAGGAGTCATCCCAGTGGATCCAATTCAATATTAGTTGAATGCATTTATAATGGCAAAAAAGTAAACATAATCTAAATATCTAGAATTGTTTGAGTCCTGGTACTAAGGGCATGGGCTGAAAACAGAAGAGTTGATAATAAGAAAGTATGATAAAGGGTGCTAGGCTGGCTCAGCAAGTAGAGCATGTGACTCCAAATCTCAAGGTCATGAGTTCAAGTCCCATGTTGGGCATGGAGTCTACTTAAAAAAAAAAAAGTAAATTTTTAAAAAGAAAGTATGATACTTAAAACTGAGATTATGAAGTATGTGAAGCTACTTATAGTAAAAAGGCTTTGGTGACCATCCTTCCCGTTGGTGGAGAAGAAATCAAGGAAATGGAAGCCAGTTTTATCAGTTATCTATTGCCATATTAACAAAGTACTCCTAAATATAGTGGCTTAAAACTACCACCATTGGGGCACCTGGGTGGCTCAGTTGGTTAGGTGGCCAACTCTTGATTTTGGCTCAGACCATGAGCTCATGGTTTAGGAGTTCGAGCCACACATCGGGTTCTGTGCTCACAGTGTGGAGCCTGCTTTGGATCCTCTGTCTTCCCCATCTTTGCCCCTCCCCCACTTGTGCTCTTCTCTCTCTCTCTCTCTCTCAATAATAAATAAATGTTAAAACAACAACAACAACAACAACAACCCATGGTAATATGAGCTCAGTTCAGTAGTTCTTTTGTTGGTCTTGCCTGGGCTCATTCATGTGGCTGCAGTCATCTGGAAGCTTGACTGGAGATGGCTAATGTGACCTCACATGTCTGGTGGTTATTGGCCAGGGCACCTCAAGGCTCCATGGAGCTTCTCATCTTCCAGTAGGCCAGACTGGACTTCTTTAGATCTTGTTGGAAGTTTTCTAAGAGGGCAAAGAGGCAAGCTGCAAGGTCTCTTGAGGCCCAGACTCTGGGGACTCACAAGATGTCATTTCTGCCACCATTCATTAATCAAAGCAAGTCAGAAGGCCAGCCCAGATTCAAGGGGTTAAAGAAACAGACTCCACTTCTTGCTGGGAGGAGAAGCAAAATCACTACGAAGGGTCATGTGGGACAGGAGGTAGTGGAGTGGCCATCTTTGCAAACAAACTTATCACACTTATTGGAAGAATTGTCTATGTGATACTGAGTCATCAAGAATCACCGAGAAGTTGATGCCAGTGGGAGTAAAGAGAGTGACAACAAGCCAGGTGCTAAAATCTTCAAAGCATGAGGGAGTAGTGAGCAATGTAATCTGATGCCATCAACTTCAAAGCTTCAAATATCTGTATTGTTTCATTGGTGAATGTCAATGAATTTCATTAATGAGAAGGAACTGTTCATTTTTCACAACTTCTTTGACTCAGTCACTCATCAATTTAGACTCTATCTTAAGAAAATAACTTAAACCATGGAAAAAACTGCATGAAAATTTGTGGCACTATTTATCTGGGAGCCATATCCCCAGTGCCTACAATGATGTCTGGCATATAGTAGAAGCACATGGATGCTCAGTAAATATTTGTTGAATGAACTTATCATAGCAAAAAATGTAAACAACCTAAATATCCAATAATGAGGGCTAGATTAAATAAAAATTACAGTATACCTATTTAATGGAATACCCTGCAGCCATAAAAAGTTATGCCTTTGAGGGGCGCCTGGGTGGCGCAGTCGGTTAAGCGTCCGACTTCAGCCAGGTCACGATCTCGCGGTCCGTGAGTTCGAGCCCCGCGTCGGGCTCTGGGCTGATGGCTCAGAGCCTGGAGCCTGTTTCCGATTCTGTGTCTCCCTCTCTCTCTGCCCCTCCCCCGTTCATGCTCTGTCTCTCTCTGTCCCAAAAATAAATAAACGTTGAAAAAAAAAAATTAAAAAAAAAAAAAAAGTTATGCCTTTGAGGCTGTCAATCAATATATGACATGAAGTTTTTCAAAAAGCAGGATACAACATTATAGATACTGTATAAAAACATCTGGATGGGAAAAATGTTCAAAACAACAACAGTGGCCAGTAGGATAATGAGTGATTTTTTTCTTTTTGACTTTATTCTAAAAGTTTTTTAAATATTATTGCATTTCTTTTATAATAATAAAAAAAGTACGCATTCATTGTGGAAAATGCTGAAAAGCATCAATAAGAAAAAAAAATCCATAATTCCATCATTCAGAAAAAAATCACTGCCAATAATGAGATAAGTTCTGCTTTGTTCTTGCTCCCCTCCCCCCAACACACACACTTAACATATTCTTAGCTCTTTGGACATCTTTGGACTTCAAAAGGTGATTCTTAGTAGTCAGGTAGTGTTTACATGCCATAATCTATTTGGCCTACAGCGAGGTCGTTTGCAATTTTTCACTAAAAACAACAACAACAACAACAACAACAACAACAACAACAACACTTAAATGAATAATTTGAGTCATGGTATTACTCAAATCCAGAAAGCTCTTCGGAAAAGAGATGATCAGAGTTTCGGGGAAGTTGGCTGGAGAGATGGGGTGGGTGCAATGGAGGCTGCAAGAAAAATTAGTCCGGGGGCTCCACCCTTGTGTGTTGCGGGTGTCTGTAGGCAGCTGCTCTACACGGGCTAGGGACTCCTCCTTCCAATGTTTTGAAATTAAAGATGGTGAAATCTTGATCTGAAGGACTAGAAGATGGGCAATGGCGTCCCTGCCCTCTGCCCTCTTGCCCTTCGAGAACAGGAAATTGTTTCCTGTCCTTGCCTTACACAGGTGTCTCTGAGCCATCAGCCTGGAGGAGTAGTCCTTCCCCCACCTCCAGATTAACTCTCTCAGTATGAGCTCTGGATTTGGGCAGTTGACAATTAGCCTGAGTTCAAGAATGGATATGACTCGAGTACAGAGGTGGGAACTTGCGGGGGGCACATCTACAGAAGTCAGGGGCGTTCCCGTCCAGAAAGTCTTCCCAGTAGTGGTCGCAGAAAGGGATGGGGTGGAAAAGACAGATCTGACGGAGGGAGGGATGAGGCTGATCCTTAGATTGGCAAGGGTCAATCCTGGAATGCCGCGGATGGCAATGAAGAAAGAAGCGGAGGGCGTGGAGGAGGAGAAGAGCAGACCGACGAAGCAGGTGATGTAGGATTTACAAACGGAGGAGGCGTGGGCTGGTGACAGGAGGAGGGCCTGGAGGCGCAAGGGTGCCCTAAGCGTACAAGGGATATAAAAGAGAAGCGTGATGGGAAGCTGACTGGCGAGAGCAGAGGTGGGGCACTGGGTGAGGGGCGCGGGTCAGGATAGCGGGGATGCAAGATGGGAGAATAACGGCTGTGCACATTTGGCCGGCACTTGGCAGTCTGCTTCCATCTAGATCCCTCTAATTTCCTCCTTTCTTTGAAGAAAGCGAGGTTCGGAGAGGTTAGGTGGCAGCGGAGGGTGGAGGCCCCGGGGGGCGCGGGGGGCGCCAGGGAACCGGCGAGCGCAGGGGCGAGGTGTGCGC